GGAATCCCCACAGATCCTGTCCCACAGTCAGAGGTCCTCACGCTGCAGTCCTTTGAAATAATCTGAAAAATCAGACTGACATTGTCGTGGTCCTGAGTCTGGTGACTCAGTGTTTTGTGTTTCTTTCTTATGTTCTTGTTTATTTTGATTGTTTATTCCATTAAGATTTGCCATTTGGTAGGTTTCTGTTCTGTGCCTTCCCTGGTCCCACTTTTCTGTGTTCCCTCTGTCTGTCCACGATGTTACGTCTGCTAATTAGTCTGCGTCTGTTAAGTTCTGTCTCGTCTGTTTACTTCCTGTTTTACTTTGTAGGTCTGTGCTCTCCCTGTCTCGTCAGTGTAATCACCGTCAGCCGTGTCTCCCAGCTGTTTCCGCTTAGCTCTGTAAATCTCTTGTATTTAGTGTCTGCGTCTTTCTCTGCTCGCTGTCGCATCGTACCTTCATGCCACCCGTGTTTGTTCTGTTTGCTAGTTTTTTTGTATTCCCAGTTCAGTTTGTGCACAGCAATAAAGCTGTTTAAGTTCAACTTTTTGTCTCTGCGTTTGTGAGTCCTGCATTTTGGGTCCTCTCTCCCTGCACACAGCCATGACAGACATATGTTAAAGACTTTGTAGTATCGTATTAACCAACGGAGCACTTTACTCTCAGACTGCAGGCCTTACTCGTGGTTTCAGGAGGCAGAACCTTCAGCTTTCTGTGGAACCAGTTCCCAGTTTGGATCAGGTGACCCTGAAACCTCCCATAGTTATGCTGCAACAGGTCTAAGATGCTGACGGCTTCCATGATGCTCTCCCCTGTACTTTGTCATTTCTCCTGCTCTGAGCTCCTTTTTGTCTTCTTTCCCCTCAGTTTTTTTTTGTCAGGAGTCTTTGTATAATTATTAATTATTTGTTTATGCGTGCTTTCTCTCAGTAAATATTCCCTTTTTTTGCGCAGCTTTTTAACAATCTTGCCTGCAGCTCAGATTAACCTTAAAAAAAATCTAATCTTTAGTTCTAAAAAAAAAAGAAGAAGAAGAAGAAGAAGAAGAGTGGATGCTTTTGTCCTTCACTGGTCTGGCCCCTGAGATCAGATGGGGCCACCAAACAGCACGAGTTTAAGGATGTAAATAGCACCATGTGTTTGAGCATTGTATAGATCTGCTCAAGCCCCCGACCCACCCACACAACACACACACACAGTTTATGGTGAGGTCAGTTTTAACCACTGCAGTCGTGTTTACGAATGAACAAACTTTCACTTCAAATCCAGAAACACAGGAAACGTTAACAACATCAAGTCTCTCTTTACACATTGCACAAATCTGAATCCCAATAATACTCAGCCACGACATTCAAAACACAAACAAGTTCAGAAAACAGTCACTGGTGTGGAGTGAAGAGAACAAGTTTCATCAATGCATGCAAAAAAGATCCACAGGCACTTTAAAAACACAAAAACCGACGATCACACAGAGTCCAGTGAGAGGATTTTATCCCTGAGATCCCCAAACAGACACGACGAGTTGATTTCCAGATCAAGACTTTTGAACATCTGAGAGATTTACACGAGTTCTCTCAGAGCGATAAAACCTAAAACCTGACTTTGGATTATTTACGTCTATGTTAAACAAAGAAAAAACTCGTAACCTTAAAAATATGTACACAAAACCAAGCTTCATGCAGTCGTACCTCTTTTTCTTGTAGCTTGACATGCAAAGGACAGTTTAATCACATCCACACATGAGAAAAACGTTCAGTTCTTAAGCAGGAAATCAGTCTGGGGAGCCGAACCCTGAACAAATACTGGGACTGCATGTTCATGAGTTAGCTACCTTTTAATGATTCCACTTTCATTTTTATTTTACGTCAAAGCGCTAACGTTGACTTGAAATGTGATTGACAATCGCATGACAAACTCGTTCTCCCACTAAGACAGCTTGCAGGAACAATCAGTCTGACAATATTGACTTTAAAAGCAGTTTTAGTGGCAGGAGGAGGAGCGGCTCTCCTCTGAGCGCCTCGTCTGGTCTCTAAAGGAAGAGAAAGCTCATCACTTCGGTCACGATGAGGGTGGAAAAGATTCCACGCTCAGGTCTCCACAGACGCTGCCTTCTTCTCTCACTCGTGAACGAGACCCTGACTAGAAGGTAAACTTTTGTCTGATATTCATGGAACCATACGGAGCTCCTGAAATGACTGTTTTTGAAACACGACGTGATCAGTTAGGACCAGAACTGACTGTGTCACGACTCGAGACTGACAAGTCAACAGGATAAACGATCATAATTTACAAAAACAACTTCACGTTTTTATTAAATATAGCCTGAACCTTGCAGCTGAGCTCACAAGGTCATCGGGAGAGTGTTTACCGAGGTCACTGAAGGCTGTTTTCACACAGACAACTAGAAGTGTTTTTGTGGCCCAAGTCGCAGGTTTATCCGACTCTGACACTATGTCCATGCAGTAAGCCTGTGTAAACACGCTGAGACACAGCAAAGGCCAAAAAAAGAACATATACACACACACACATCTATTTTTTTAAGTCTGAATCTGTCATTGAGGTTGTTCAGGCTTATTTTTTGGCTTATCGATGAAGTCCTGGGAGATTTTTCAGCAGATAGAGCGAGAACCGTAAATGTACAACAGAAATTCCCTGCTTTGTTTATGAATAAAAATGCTAACGAACGACCCTGCAAGAAGCTAGATTCTCACAGGGTGTGGATAAGGGCGACCGAGGCAGCAGAGGTGGAACCGGGTCACAGTGTCTTTATAAACAGATGTTTTTATAAAGTTCTGCATTCGGGAAGTGGCTGTGTAAATGAGCAATGCATACATG